GTTCATATAAAAGGCTTGGGGAGGGGGTGGTGAGCTAGGATATCAAAGAAAGTATGCCATAGTCCTTTTGAGCACTCCATGAAAACAACAGAAGAGAGAGCTATAAAGAGTGATATTAGAAAGCTATCTTGATCCACATTCACAAAAATTCATCACATAAAAATGGAACAACATGAAAGGATGAAGATAATAAGGAACAGAATATCATTTCTATAGATCATGCAAAGTACACCTGCAAGATGTACACAATACAGACAGGAACCATAACCTGCTATTTTAAAATTTGAATAAATGGTACAAGAAAAACATAACCAGAAAAATTCACAGTGCTGGAACTTGGGGAAGAAACAATAAAAGTTCAGAAAAATGAAGACTAAACAAGGAGCACAAGACAATAAACCAGTAGTGTTTTTCAAGAATTAAAGGTAACTTTAAATGAAGCTGAAACAAATAGATTGAAATTTAGAATTGAAAAAAAGAGATGCAGTAATTTGACCAAAAAAATCCAAAAGCTCTCCCTTCAAAAAAAAGAATAACAAAAATGTAAGTGGTAAAAAGTGTAATTCAAGAATAATTTCATGAAATACAGTAAGATTTGAGGCTACAAATTGAAAGGACAGTCAGACCAGTCATCCTTTGTATATCAAGACATAAAGAACAAGTGACTTATAAAAGAAAAAAAATCAGATACACTTTGACAACAAAGCTTTATAACCCAAGTCAGTGAATTAACTGGATACTCAATCAAAGAAAACGTGAGCCAAGCATTTTATACTCTGTCACGCTTATCTTCATTTATAAAGGTCACAAATAAACAGTGTATAAGAATGTTTTATTAATCATATTGTTGATGTGATGTTGATATTGTTATCTGAGATTATTGTAATATGGGATAAAGTAACTAAATGCATATTCTATATTTTGTGTTCTTGAAAATCAGAGGTATAAGAAAGAAAATACAGATAGAAAATAGAAGATGTTTAGTAAAAAGCCCAAGGCCCTCAATTTGAATTGGAAATATCACTAAGCCATGAGGTATTTAATCTTTCAAAATGTGTGTGTATGCACATGTTTGAGCATTTTCAGGCTCTGTCCACTAAAAACTACTGAACACAATGACCAATACCATAACAATGTCCCTAGTGCCCAGATCATGGTCTTGAAATGCCATTTCTGGACAGGATATTTATCAGATAAGCTTAGAATATTTTGTTATACTATATAGCAAAGAAAGAAAGACAACTAGGCTTGTATCAAAAGGTTTCAGAGGCCAAATTGAAGAGGTTCCCACTGGCCAAACATGGGATGTTTCATGCATCAATTAAGGGTAATTTCAAGTATTTGATTTACATTGTTGTTTAGTCACTAAGTCATATCCAGCTCTTTTTTGCAACCCCATGTACTGTAGCCTGCCAGACTTCCCTGTCCATGGGATTTCACAGGCAAGGATACTGGAATGGGTTGCCATTTCCTTCTCCAGGGGATCTTCCGGACCCAGGGATCAAACCCACATCTCCTGCATTGGCAGGCAGATTCTTTACCACTGAGCCACCAGGGAAGCCCTTAAATAACATTAAATATGATTAAAGCTGTGAGTTTACAATGATACCTCACCCTAGAAACAAGCATGTATTCGATCTTTTCCATATGAATTCTACCACTGAATCGTGGAAGTACATATAATAGCTTATAAGGAAAGGATGATAAAATTAGATCATTGTATTGCAGCTTGTAGTGAATTAATAGTTTCAGGTTATGAGCATCAGTGTCTGCCAATATCACAAAAACAGAAGCACAGCCAGACATTAAATGTCCCCTAAGAAAGGCAGTCCCAAAGAATGCTCAAATTACCACACAGTTGCACTCATCTCATAACGCTAGCAAAGTAATGCTCAAAATTCTCCAAGCCAGGCTTCAGTGATACCGTGAACTTCCAGATGTTCAAGCTGGTTTTAGAAAAGGCAGAGGAACCAGAGAGCAAATTGCCAACATCTGCTGAGTCATCGAAAAAGCAAGAGAGTTCCAGAAAAACATCTATTTCTGCTTTATTGACTACGCCAAAGCCTTTGACTGTGTGGATCACAATAAACTGCGGAAAATTCTGAAAGAGATGGGAATACCAGACCACCTGACCTGCCTCTTGAGAAACCTATATGCAGGTCAGGAAGCAGCAGTTAGAACTGGATATGAAACAACAGACTGGTTCCAAATAGTAAAAGGAGTACATCAAGGCTTTATATTGTCACCCTGCTTATTTAACTTATATGCAGAATACATCATGAGAAACGCTGGACTGGATGAAGCACAAGCTGGAATCAAGATTGCCAGGAGAAATATCAGTAACCTCAGATATGCAGATGATACCACTCTTATGGCAGAAAGTGAAGAGGAACTAAAAAGTCTCTTGATGAAAGTGAAAGAGGAGAGTGAAAAAGTTGGCTTAAAGCTCAATATTCAGAAAAGTAAGATCATGGCATCTGGTCCCATCACTTCATGGCAAATAGATGGGGAAACAGTGGAAACAGTGTCAGACTTTATTTTTTGGGGCTCCAAAATCACTGCAGATGGTGATTGCAGCCATGAAATTAAAAGGCACTTACTCCTTGAAAGGAAAGTTATGACTAACCTAGATAGCATATTAAAAAGCAGAGACATTACTTTACCAACAAAGGTCCGTCTAGTCAAGGCTATGGTTTTTCCAGTGGTCATGTATGGATGTGAGAGTTGGACTGTGAAGAAAGCTGAGCGCCGAAAAATTGATGCTTTTGAACTGTGGTGTTGGAGAAGACTCTTGAGAGTCCATTGGACTGCAAGGAGATCCAACCAATCCATCCTAAAGGAGATCAGTCCTGGGTGCTCATTGGAAGAACTGATGCTGAAGCTGAAAGAAACTCCAATACTTTGGCCACCTCATGTGAAAAGTTGACTCATTGGAGAAGACCGTGATGCTGGGAGGGATTGGGGGCAAGAGGAGAAGGCAATGACAGGGGATGAGATGGCTGGATGGCATCACCGACTAGATGGACATGAGTTTGAGTAAACTCCGGGAGTTGGTGATGGACAGGGAGGCCTGGCCTGCTGCGATTCATGGGGTTGCAGGAGTTGGATACAACTGAGCGACTGAACTGAACCGAAGGAGGAAACACAAAACCAGCAAGTAGTTGCCAAAATAAAAAAGGGCGAGGGGATCCTATAGTCTCTAGAACTGACTACCAATTTGTAGGAAAAGCAGAGATATAAGATATTTTTCAGTAACTTAGAGAAATATATATATAAGAGATGTTTTTTGGAGACGAAACTATTTAAGAGAGGGAAGAAGTGTTTTTTGGTTTTGTTTTCAATTTAACGAGGCTTATAAAATGTTTAGTTTGGCTGGTGATGTTCTGTTAAACTGGTGATTACAAGAACTCTTTGCCTGCTTGTTTTATGCAGTCTTCTGGGTCTGTTATATTTTACTGTTTTAAAAAAAGTAGAAATGGATCAAAGATAACCAACTAAATAGGTCAGTGTTTCCAAGACCCCTAGATAGAATATGAAGAATACAGGCCTATTTAAAACAAATAAGAATACACAGCCTTTTTCTATGTAGATTCCTCCTGCCCATACTGTTCCATCCAGAGTGTATTTACCTGTTCTTTTTCTGTCACAGATCTGTCTATTTGTATACTGAGTTAATAGTTCAGATTGTGTCTGTGTTTGTTTAATGCTAGTCCATCTCCTCTTGACAGGTTGAAAATAACACACCTGCTGGGGCCCCACTCCTGGAGATTTTGATTCAGAGACTGTAGTCAAATCTGAGCATTTGTTTCTCTTTGTTTGTTTGTTTAATGTCTCATGGTCATTTGTGCCCAAAGGCCATTTTCCTACTCTGTACCTGGTTGTAAAGTTCAGGTTTGGACACCAATGTCATCCTCCCTATACAGTTCATTATTGAGTCTGTTGCTCTTAACACTTCTTGATCCTTCCTGTCATCTCTTCCTGTACTCATGTCACCTTCGTAGTTTTCTGAACTATGAAATTGGTCTCCTAATAGTCTCCTAGTTGATACTTAAAAGCCTTCAAGCTGCTCCCAGACTTGTAAACTAATGATCGGATCACGTTAACTCTTCATGAGAGATGAATCCCCATTCCTAAAGAATAAGATTCAACCTCCCTCAAAACTGCTCCACAATCTGGCATTTTCCTGTTTTGCCAGACATCTTTTTCCCCAAAGAAAGGGCCTCTCATTCCCAGCACTGATGTTGAGCTGTGTGCAGATCTCTGAATGATTCTTTTTCATGTTTTTCCTGACTTGGTGTTCATTGAGCTTTCTGTTCCTGGAATCACCCATTTTCCAGCCTTGGAGTTCATCATTAAGGACTTGTCTGATGAAACTTTTTCCGATAGAACTTCTCGTTCTAGTAGAATTGAGTATTCCTTCCTTAGTACTCCTTCCCTAATGTGAACGTTTATCATAGCACCTATAACCTTTTATTGTACTTTTGGCTACAAGTTTATCTTTGTAGGAAGACTGTGTCCCTTGTGGGGATTAGGATTCTTCTTATTTGCCTTTGTAAATTCCTAGCACAGTCCCTAGCACATGATGTGCCTCTGCCCTAAAGCAGTCTTATTAAAAATGCTATGGATATTACACATTGCACTGACCAGATTGTGCTCCTTAAATCCGAGAAAAGTGATCTACTTTCTTGTTCATTCAGTTTTCTCCTTAGTTGGCATATATATCGTATAGGAAGATGAGAATTTGCACAGTGTGGTTTTTTTTTTTTTTAATTTTTAATCCTCTTATGTTAAAGGAAATGAAAGCCACAAGAGCCTGAGATCAATGTAAGACCTATTGATTGGCATTTCAACATCATCTGTTTGTTTGTTAATTCTGAATATAATGTTAAATAAGTGCTGCTGATAGTTATTTGATAGGTTCCATGATGAAGGCTACTTTGCAAAAATTGCTGAAATGATTAGTTTTCTGTATCAACCATTAATATACCCTTTTTTCCTAGCCTTCTTTGAATCCAGAAGCTGGCAAACAGAATCAGCCATGCAGACCTATTGGGACCCCTTCTGGAGTGTGGGGTAGGTAGATTTGCCATTTTAAAGGCAAAACTTTAAATTTATCTTAGCAGGGAGAGGAGAAAAATTTCTTTATCTCTTTTTTTGTTTCTTTATCTCTGGTTTCTCATCTCATCCATTTGCACATGGTAACTAACACCTATTAACTGTTACTCTGCCCCCACCCCCACCCCCTGAAAATTCCTTTGGGATGTAAAGGTAGTGGAGTCAGAATAAAGACAATTGAGTGCTTGAATTTGAAAGCAGATTTTAAGCAAATGGATTCTAAAGTATTCTTTGATAGGCTATATAATACCACATCCTATAGAACATTTTGTTCAGCCAGGTTCTGTTTGCTGACTGTGGTGGTGATGTCTTTGTTTTTGGCAGTTAGAAATGATGATTGTTGTGTAGGTTGGGGAAAACCTATAAATACACACATTTATATGTATATGTTAAGAATAACTAACTTTATAAAAAGTTATTAGACAAATCAGTGTATTTCAAACCAAACCTGATCCTGTGGCATTGGGATGTTTGGCATTTACAAATTTTACTCTCCTGGTTTCTTATTAGGTTTCTTATTTACTCTCCAGGCATCTTATTAGGAAGGCTTTAGTGTATCTAAATACTGGGTTTGGATTCCAAGTTGCAGGATTAAGGGCAGTTGTTGTACCACTTCCCTTTTGTTAATGAATAGCTTTGCTCCAGTTCGCCTCATCAGAAGGTCCCATAGCAGACTCCTTTTTCCAGTTTTCTCTACTCTCTCTATTCTCATGCTGACAGGAGTTGCTACCCTTGGATATATTCTTGTTTGGTATATGCCTGAGTGATCACACCACATGTGAGACATGTTATACGCCTGAAAGATTGATGACATCTTCGGGGTTTTTGCTTGAGTATGAATTCAGAATCAAGTGTCTGACATACTGCCTTTTTTCTTATGGTTCCTGAGTAGTGTCACTTTTGAGAATATCTGTGAAGTACACACCGGGAAATGTTTGTCACTTAGTCACAACTCTTAGCTCTTCGTTGAAAGTGAGGCCTTCATTTGAACTATGCTGTGTGTTAACCAAAAGTTTTGACATTCTTTTGCTCTCCACTGTTGTGTTGCACAGAAAACCCACCTAGTGCCAAGCAACCCTCCAAAATGCTAGTCATCAAAAAAGTTTCCAAAGAAGATCCTGCTGCTGCCTTCTCTGCTGCATTCACCTCACCAGGATCTCACCATGCAAATGGAAACAAATCGTCAACCATGGTTCCAAGTGTCTATAAGAACCTGGTTCCTAAGCCTGTACCACCTCCATCCAAGGTATGATTTGGAATCAGTTTCAGAACCTTACACAGCAGAGGTGGGAGAATATACAAGAATTTAGTAAATTTGTTTTTTCCTGTTGAGTCACTCACCAGATATTCATTTGGTACCATTAACTTATATGTATAGTATTTTACTCGGTCTCCAAACTCTCTACTGCTGCCAACTACATGTTTAGTAGGCCTCTCATACTCTAGCTTCATCTTATAAACCTGCTTCTCTTGATTTGCTATTTTCATTAATGATATCAACATTTATCTATCAGTGAGCTGAATACCATGGCTGCTGCTTCATTCCTCCTCCTCACTCATTCCCCCTATACCAAGCAGTTACAAATTCTGTCAGTTTTTTCCTCTATGATATCCTATGTCTTCATCATCTCACAATTTCAGTGTACCCTTCTACTGCCTCATCTCTGTTTATCTTCCACTGAACTGTTAGAATGGTTATCCTTAAGCAATCTGAATATATTACATCCTTTCCCGTTAAGTCCCTTTAGTGATCCCATACCATCAATATACCAGGCGTTGTTGGATAACTTAGCGCTCCCCTGGTGGCAGACAGTAAAGAATCTGCCTGCTGTGCAGAAGACCCTGGTTTGATTCCTTGGTTGGGAAGATACCCTGGAGAAGAGAATAGCAACCCACTCTAGTATTTTTGCCTGGAGAATTCCATGGACAGAGAAGCCTGGCAGGCTAAACGTTATCTGTAAAGGGCCAGATAATTCACACTTTAGGCTTTGTTGGTCACATAATGACATATGACCTTTTGGTAACATACTCTTTTTCTTTTTTTCCCCAACCCTTTAAAAATTGGGGGAAAACAAAACATTAGCTTATGGGTCATATAAAAGTAGTCCTCAAGCCAGTTTTGGCCCATGGGTCATAGCTTAGCAACCACTGATGTTATAATACAATGTCCAGACTCCTTAGCACTGGCATGTATAATTCTATATAGTCTAAGCCCAATACGTCTTTTATATTTTACTGCCCTTTCTTTCTCTTACCTAGGAGATTTTCCTTCATGTTTATGTCATCCTCTCTGTGAATCCTTTTCTGTCACATCCGTCTAAAGATCTAATTAAGTGTTGTAGCTGATTGAATAGCATTCTGTCTCTAATCATGATATTTATTGCATCTGTTTCTTCACTTGGTGTAATCGTCTTAAGGGCTTCAGGTCTTTTCCATGTTTGTATCCCTAGCATTCTCACAAAAGCACACAATAATTGCTTGAATAAATTCTCGCCACTGTAAAGAAACAGTTTTTACTGTGTTATTGAGAGAAAATACTAGTGAGCATTAATTCACTTTTCTCTGTGCACCAACACTTGTTTAGGCTTCCCTGGTGGCTTGGTGGTAAAAAATCTGTCTGCCAGTGCAGGAGACGTGGGTTCAGTCCCTGGGTCCGGAAGATCCCCTGGAGGAGGAAATGGCAATCCCCTCCAGTATCCTTGCCTGAGAAATTACATGGACAGAGGAGCCTGGTGGGATACAGTCCATGGGGCGTCACAAACTCGGACACGACTGAGACTCAAAACACTTGTCTTGTGCTTAAGAGCAACACAAAGAAGTACATCATTGGTCCTGAGCCTCCATGAGCTGAAAGTTTAATTGGGATGACAAGATACAACAGTATAAGGTCATATGATTGTATATGAAATAAAATAACAAATCCTAGAAACAAAGCTTAAACAGATTAGGAACAACTAAATTAAAACACTCTTTATATTGTTCAGAGGAGCACGATCAGCTTAGACTACAACCATCAAGGGAAATTTTACTGAAAAAATGTAATTTGAACAGATTTTTAGAGGCTAGTCAAGATTTAGATAGGAAAAAGCCTGGAAAGTACTACAGATTAGAAGAGGTGGTTAAGTAAAATGTTTTGAAAATAGAAAACAGTGGACACATTTGAGGGATAATGAATGAACCATTCTAATTGCCTGGTAGTACTGGAAAAATATCAGAACTGATGGTTATTATCCTAGTGATAATGAAGATTTTCAGGGTAGAGAAGATCACCAAGGGAAAGAGGATAGAAGAGTAAAGAATAGGAAAATAAGACTTGGGAAAATACTTATTATTTAATAAATATTAGGGAAAAAATAAATAAATATTAGGAAAATAACAACATAGTTAATAGGATTAAGAGATTGTACTCAGACATAGAAACAATGGTAAGCTATCACACATCTGCGAGGGTGAGTTTAAGATAGCAGCAAGGGTTGTCAGCATTTGTCAGTTGCTGCTGACAAGGGCAATAACTGAAAAGAGGAGGTTTGGACCTCAGCAGTTAGAAAGTTTTTGGTGACTGTGAGTCGAGGTTTTAGGAGAGTAGTGTAAGGCTGAAAAACAAGATTTCAGAGGATTCTATAGTTATGTGAGTGGAAATGAAGGCAGTGGCACGTTTGAAACTTGACAGTAAAAGGAAACAGTATAGGTGCTAGAAAAGTGAAAGGATGAAGAAAATCTGTAGGAAGAAGCCTGTGGGGACTTTAAATTTACTTGAAAGGTCATTAAAGGAACATGACCCAAGAAGAATACACTGATTGACGAGTGGAGTTATTTTTAAAAGGGGTTTAGAATATTTATTTCCTTTGATACAGAAGGGAAAGAATGTGAATTCAGTCAAGAGAGCAACTCCTATAAAGAACAAACCTAGCATGGAAATTAACAGCAGGACTTGTGAGTAGGCAGGTGACACTTAACTCCTTTATATTACAACCTTGAACAAGTTTCTAATGTTCTGAACCTCAACTTCATCATATAAAAGGAAGGTAGTAATGCCTGTCTTAAGGGTTTTTGAGAGTTTAAAAAGTTTTCATAAGTGTTACTTCATTGGGAATATCTGTAAACATTATGTTAAACTGTAGAACAAGAAAAAAAAAATGAGTGAGACAAAGTCATAGCCTCAGGGTCTCAAATCTTCTGTGGGTGAAGACATGACAAGGAGAAAAGTCATAACACAGAGCTTAAGATCAGTTTAGCCCTGTTGTGGAGAATTGAGTTGAGAAAAGATGAAGATAGGAAAACCAGTGTAAAGTCTGCTATTAACTGCCTTTGCAAAAGGTAGTAAAGCCTGAACAGGGATGTGATGCAAGTGAACAGAGAAGAGGGGTGGTGATGGCACACAGTGGGAAGCAAATAAAAGCAAGAAAACAGGACACTAAGCATTCCTCCCCCAGAAACTGGGATAACTGTGGAACCATTTCACTCAAGTTAGAGAAGAAAGAATGCAGAGTTTTCAGGAAAAAGTTGATGTGAGTGGTTCTGGGACTCTTGAATGTAGGATACTATGGGGAGAGGAGATGACTAATAGGCAGATGTGGATGTATCCATTCATTTTCTCTCTGTGTTTTAACAGTTATTAAACATTAAGTATCTGTATGTTTAAAAGCTAAGTTTAAAAGCACTAGAGGCACAAAAATAATCTCAAAGGGTTTATTCTGAGATATAGTGAAGAGACAGATATGAAAAATAATTGTACTGCCTTCTTGGAGAGGGTCCTCATGAGTCTTTGCAGATGAGGTCATATTTGAAATGGGTTTTGAAGTGACAAAGAAAGGAAGAACTACCATTTGTTGACATCTTACTATGTTCCAGGACATTCACTAGGCCTTTTACATAAAATATTTACTTTAATCCTAGGATGTAGAAAATTATGTAATGTTAGGTTGAATGCAGAGTTCCAAAGAATAGCAAGGAAAGACAAGAAAGCCTTCTCAGCGATCAATGCAGAGAAATAGAGGAAAACAATAGAATGAGAAAGAGTAGGGATCTTTTCAAGAAAATTAGAGATGCCAAGGGAACATTTCATTCAAAGATGGGCACAATAAAGGACAGAAATGGTATGGACCTAACAGAAGCAGAAGATATTAAGAAGAGTGGCAAGAATACACAGAAGAACTATACAAAAAAGATCTTCACGACCCAGATAACCATGATGGTGTGATCACTCACCTAGAGCCAGACATCCTGGAATGTGAAGTCAAGTGGGCCTTAGGAAGCATCACTACGAACAAAGCTAGTGGAGGTCATGGAATTCCAGTTGAGCTGTTTCAAATCCTAAAAAAAATTATGGAGTCAAGATACTTCAACTAGATTTGTCTGACTTCAGCTAGGGCTGTTTACACTGCCCCAGAATACTTCCCATCTTGATGAAGGATAAAAAAGAGGAAGATGAGAATTCTGGTTTTGGAGTCAGACTTCATGCCATTCTAAGTACTTGGAATATAGTATTGGCAGTAGTCAATAGTTGTAGGCAGTAGTCAGTAGTTGACTAAGTAGTCAACAAACTGTAGTTTTAAAACAGTAGGAGTTTGTTAGGGAGCAAGTAGGTGAGGCATTGCAGGCAGAGGAACTGTGTGTTACCCAAAAAAAGTGGGTGGGGGAGCAAAACATGCCATGTTTGGAAAAAGACAAGTGGTTAAGTATGAATGGCAGGTAGTTAGGAAGTGGTGGTACTTGAAGACTAAAGCCAAGTGATGGAGGTCTTTATAAAAATTCAAGTGAGAGTTTAGGGGTCATATTATCAGCTACATGATTTTAACAACTTAAATGATTAGACAGTTACAAGTAACTAGGTTTTCTAATTAAGTTCACCTGGGAACAGATTCCAGTTGGCGAGTACTGAGTATGCCTACATCCACTGAAAAGACTGAAAGGAATTATGAAGTGAGAAGAGGATGAAGGATCAGGGAACTGAGAAAGGGAATACTGGAGTGGGTAGCCATTTCCTTCTCCAGGGGATCTTCCTGACCCAGGGATCGAACTGGGGTCTCCTGCACTACAGGTAGACTCTTTACCATCTGAGCCACCAGGGAAGCCCAAAAAAGGGAAGAGAGTTCAGAAAAGATGGGTAAAGTGCAATCTCTCATTTCTACAAAAACAGACTTTTTAAAGCTGGCTTTTGAATGTAATATGAAGACAAAATTTTTGCTTATTCATTGAAAGAGCTGTTTTATTAAAATGGGGATAGAAGTGTGTGTTACAGGGAATTAAATAGTAATAATGAGCAAGTGAAAGCAGATACTGACCTGTGCAGAAAAGTTTGGCAATAAAAGGATGGTAGTAAAAAGGAAAATCTTTTTCCCCCTAGCTTCAACTTAATAGAAAGGAGGTTAAAGATACAAAGGAGAAATAATTGATAAATTCACAAAGGAATGAGAACAAACATGTAGAATGATAGAAAGGTAGGGTGGAGCTATTAAAGGAACTTGAGGTGCAAAGAAGGGAATTGGGGAGAGTTTGGCTCTAGTGACTTCTGACTTCTGTCCAGTAGGAAAAGGCATGACCGTTTGAGGTGGAGAGTTGAGATTGGTTTGGAGGGAAGAAGATACTTTAAAAAGAAAATGGTTGATACGTGGTTCATTTTAATGGGTTTTTTCCCCCTCCCTTTATTTTACTAGTTGATTGAAGTGTGGATAGTGTACAATATTAACAGAGTCAAGGTATCTGGTGACCTTGTACAACTCTGGGAAACTGTGTCTTTGATATTTGGCCTGAATAAGCAGCCATCTTTAGACTTTCTTCAGTGAAAGAAAAAAAATTAATCTCCATTCTAGTTGGGTCATTGCCTCTTTCTTTTATTGACTTGCATGTTGTTTTTGGAGGCACTGTGGAAAACAGTATTACATACCAGTTGAGTAACCTTGGACAAATTATGTAACTTCCTTAATGTCAGTATGGGCTTCCCTGGTGGCTCCAGGGAATCCGTCCTCAATGTAGGAGACCCAGATTCGATCCCTGAGTCAGGAAGATCCCTGGATAAGGGAATGGCAACCCACTCCAGTATTCTTGCCTGGAGAATCCCGTGGACAGAGGAGTCTGGTGGGATACAGTCCATGGGGTCTCAGAGAGTCGAACATGACTGAGCAACTGACACACAATGTCAGTATAATTCTCAGTAAAAATTCCACATCATAATTATATCTGATTGGGTTAAGGATTAAATAAACTACAACGAGTATCTGGTATATGGAACTCTGTTAAGTTTCCGAAAGCCTACAGTATCTTCTTCAATAACAAGAATGAAGCTCTTTTCACTCAGACCCTTCTTTTGTCCTAGAGGTCTTTTGGTTCTAATTGTTTCATTTTGGAAAAACAGCCTTTTTTACTTTCTTCAGCCTGACGTCAGTGATGTGCCTCAGATGGGCTGTGTGACTCAGGGGAAAATGAGTATTCTAGCTACACTATGTTGCCATTTGAGTTGGGGCCAGGGCCAGAGTGACAGAATGGGCCCAGACCCCACAAGGCAGAGCAAGGGAAAAGCTTCTGGACTAAACCAGGATCATCCAGCCATTTATATTGCCCACTCTGCCCTGTAACTTAGCCTCCTGCCATCAAAGTTCTTAGAAAACAACATTTTTTCTGATGTGCTTTGTGAGGGTGGGGGTTTGTCAGGATTACTTCAAAGGTTAACATACAACACACCATTAAAAAACAAAAACAAAAAATTGGGGGGTCAAATGAGTTTAGAAAATGCTGTAGATTATATCTGCCTCTCAATTCACATACATGAAAATGCTTTGTGAAATAGCACAGTAAAAGAAACCTGTTGTGGAACTGTATTCAGCCTAGCATTTCCCAGGCTTATTGGACTAGAGCTCTCTATACCTGTTAATATCCCATGGCTTTTCTGATTCCTATCTACCTTTTCCCTTCAAGGTTGTATACCTTCCAAATGTGTTGAGACAGGTGAGCTTTCATATTCCCACATAACATCCCACATACTGTTCCCACAGCTTTTCACTCTTTGCTTTGTGATCTTACAAGCTGAGCTTCTGTCTGTGTGCTGTTCTGACTGATTGTTCTTTCTTCCTATGTAGGCCAGTGCATGGAAAGCTAACAGAATGGAACACAAATCAGGACCCCTTTCCTCTAGCCGAGAGTCCGCTTTTACCAGTCCAATCTCTGTTACCAAACCAGTAGTACTGGCTGGTGGTGTAGTTTTAAGCTCTCCCAAAGAGGTGAGTGAGGATAAAGGAAAGCAGCCTCTTTTTGTGAAGTTGCCGTTCCCCATTTACTTAAACTGAGACAAGTGTTGTGGTATGTATAGCTCTAACTTCATTTCCTTTGTAGCTATTCTTAGCTCAGAGTCATTTCTTTACTGGTGATTCCCATTAGCATCCAAAGATAGGCAGTAGCTGGGTGGGGTCTTTGGCCTGTGTCAGACTGGCATTATGCTTGCCTCTGGAGAAAGATCAGAGAGGTGCTATTTAAACCATCTGGTTTTAACTGTAAAAACTCTGCAGAACTGAACTCTGTTTAAATGAAAAGGATAGTTTATTTTTGGTAAAAGACAGTAATAAACAGACTGCCAGATTCAGGAAAGCATTACCATGTAGGCCTAGAGAATCCCAGTACTTACGTTTACTGCCGGGAACAACCTGTTTGTGGTATTTGCCCAGAGCCCCGCCAGCACCACTCCTCCGATTGAGATCAGCTCCTCTCGTCTGACCAAGTTGACCCGCCGAACTACTGACAGGAAGAGCGAGTTCCTGAAGACTCTGAAGGATGACCGGAATGGAGACTTCTCAGAGAGCAGAGAGTGTGAGAAGTTGGAAGATGTAAGACTGTGGGTTCTTCTGGGGCAACATAAGTGTTTTTCTGCATTATATATGTACTTTTCGTTTTTAAGAGAGAAAGATATGGCACTTTTTTTTTTTTAAGTACAGAGATTTGGCTATAGGAGTAACAGCTTGTGATAAAAGTGAGCTCAGTTCTTTGTTCAGCATATTTCAGATTACGGCTCATTTCAATGATAGTGGCCTTGGGACTTGGTGCTCTTAAACAGGGCAGCACTGCTTGAGTCTTGAATTGGTCATTGCTGTAAGAAGTTGGTAAACTATGGAAGCTTTTTTTTTTTTTTTTTTAAGGATTATATTTAACTGTAATGGAAGAAAATCTGACAAACAGAACCATAAAACGAGGGTTTTCGTTTTTGTATCTTGCAGCAGGTTCCTAGTCCCAAGAGGTAACGGCATCTGTAGTATCAGGAAACTTCTAACTTTTGGTTACTTTGGACTAGGGTACTTGTGTTCCCATCCACTTTCTAGTTACGGAAAGGACAGAGCCAAAAACCAGAAGAGGGATGTCCTTTTTAAAATGCTTTCTTAAAAGCCACCCCTGCAATTTCCACTCACATTTTAAGTGGGCAGCTGTCAAATTGCCACTCCTAGCTTCGAAGAAGTTTAGGAAAGGGAACTTTTTAAAAACTTAGCACATTGGTTCCTTAGTCCAAATCGGTAAGGAAGAATAGAAAATCGATACTGCATAGGCAGCTAGTAACTTCTGCCACAGTTGACCTAGCCTGAAGGTAAGATGGTAGCCAGTTGGTATCCTTTGGAAATCTTGGCAAGATGAGCAAGTTCTCATTTTTAAGTGGGGAAAACCTGTGGGCCAAGGTAGAAAGCATCTCCTTAATCTCTTAAGATTACTTACCTTGCTGCAATAGATTATTAAACTAAACATGTCCTTCCTTTCCTTCCTGTCCTCCAGTCGGAGGACAATAGCACACCTGAACCAAAGGAAAATGGAGAGGAAGGCTGTCATCAGAATGGTCTTGCTCTCCCTGTAGAAGAGGAAGGGGAGGCCCTCTCTCACTCCTTGGAAGCAGAGCACAGGTGAGAGAAGATCAGATACACAGGGCTGTGTATGAGCTACAAGGAGTTTGAACGTACTTAAGACAGCTCCACTTCCAGTATAGAGAGAAGTGCCCACAGCAGCACAGCTTGTTCTCTTGTGGGCCACAGGTTGGCCTGTTGCCCACTGGGTGTAGTCCTTTATATATTCAACTAGCTTTCCACATGCTTCTCTCCAAGGCTTTCTTGTAGTTCAGTTTCAGGCTCCATTTATGGCTTAGGTTGGAGAGGTTGGAGTGGGTGGGACCTGTTTCCTAGAGCTGTTATGGTGGCCCCTTTGGCCTCTCTCGAGATTTATGAGGCCTCTTCTTTAAATGAGGGCCTTGAACACAGAGCCAAGGTGTCCGGCCAACTGGATGGCAGATGGGACCTGCCAGGTACCTTCCTGAAAAGGAGCTCCTGTCCAGAGGAACTTAAAAAGGGGTAAACAGGATCACAAGGTTATGGGGTTCACAATGCCATGAAATTAAGAGCACTCAGAGCGTCTTGCCTGGCGATCCAGTGGTTAATTCTCCATGCTTCCACTGCAGGGGCATGGCTTCCATTCCTAGTCAGGGAAGTAAGATCCCACATGCTGTGTTGTGCAGTCAAGAAAAATAAATAAGAACTTAGGTACATGTGGCTATGTGCTGATTTGCTCACAGGAGACAGTGAGATTTCTTTGGTTTTATCTATGGGACAGTTTGACTCTTTTCTTTATTCTGCTGCTTCTACATAAGAGTTCTCTATAACTCTTATGCTCTGGAAAGAGCAACTGTGTATTGATTTTGTATCCTGCAACTTTGCTAAATTCATAGATTATCTCTAGTAATTTTCTGATATTATCTTATACAGTATCATGTCATCTGCAGACAGTGAAAGCTTTACTTCTTCTTTTCCCATCTGAGTTTCTTTTATTTCTTTTTCTCCTCTGATTGCTGTAGCTGGGACTTCCAAAACTATGTTGAATAATAGTGGTGAAAGTGGACACCCTTGTCTTTTTCCTGAGCTTAGGGGGAATGCTTTCAGTTTTTCACCATTGAGAATGTTTGCTGTAGGCTTAACTTATATGGCTTTTGAAGAGTTTTAATCATAAATAGGTGCTGAATTTGTCAAAGGCCTCTTCTGCATCTATTGAGATTGGAAAGAGCAATTGTGGAGATCCACCATCTAATTCCAAGCACCTAAGTAGTCATAATTAAAGATTATCCTACTGGGTATAAAGAATAAAACCCACATTTCTTCTCTAAGCGGATACCATTGTCCCTGGACAGGAAAGTTTCTGTGGAAAGTTAAGGGCTTCCCTCCCACTTAAAGCTGTATTTTCTTTGCCTGACCTGCTTCTACTAGGTTACTGAAAGCAATGGGATGGCAGGAGTATCCTGAAAATGACGAGAATTGTCTTCCCCTCACAGAGGATGAGCTCAGAGAGTTCCACATGAAGACAGAGCAGGTATGTGGTAAACTTTGCTGGAGACCAGTTAATGAGTAAGAGAAAAAAGTGCTAGGACAGTCATTGCCCTTGGGAAGTCCCAGTTTTGGGTGTGAGAAGGATCTTGAGAAAGAAAACAGTAAGTAAGTCACCATTGTAGAAACACAGAGGAGCATCCCAGGCCATAATGATCTCCAGTGGTGGACACAGAAACCAGATCAGTGGTTAGCAGATTACAGAAAGCAATATGTTATTTCATCCTGGAAGCTCTAACTCCTCATCAGAATCACAAGGCTATGTTCCAAGGTTATGGGCTGAGCCCTTGGTCCCTGGGGAAGCAGGCTATGCTTGCACCCCTGTGGATTCCGTCTGGTACCGCAACCAGAGCCAAGAAACTCCTCTGAATTTCTTCCAACAAATGCCTAGATTCTTACTCTGAATAAAACATTGCCAGGTCCCTACAAACCTCATGGAACTTAAGTTCTGGTGGTATGTATTTAAAGCATAAATAACAGTGATGTTAAATCCTATAAAGAAAAGTATAGGCTGACATAAAGACTTAAGTACTCAGAACTCTGTTCCCCTATCATTGTCATCACCTGAGAACTTGTGGAAATAAGAAATCTTGAACCCTACCTCAAACATACTGAATCAGTCTGCATTTTAAAGAAATCCTTAGGTGATTCATTTGCACATTACAGTTGAAAAAGCACTGCTATAAGAAATCTTCAGTTTCTTAGAAGAAAGAAAATTCTTAGAACTTTCTGGCTAAAGTTGAGCTGAAGCCTGGTCTTTCCCAACTTCCCTGATGGCTCGGGAGTAAAGAATCTGCCTGGAACACACAAAACTTGGTTTTGATTCCTGGGTCAGGAAGATCCCCTGGAGAAGGGAATGGCAGCCCACTCCAGTATTGTTGCCTGGGAAATTCCATGGACAGAGGGGCCAGGTGGGCTACAGTCCACGGGGTTGCAGAGTCGACTGAGCAACTAACACTTTGGCTTTCTGGCCTTCACCAGGCCCCATGGGCCAGTGTAGTGACTGATGATTGTCTTTTTCTTTTTTTCCCATGCCAACCACAGCTGAGAAGAAATGGCTTTGGAAAGAATGGCTTCTTGCAGAGTCGAAGTTCCAGCCTATTCTCCCCTTGGAGAAGCACTTGCAGAGCAGAGTTTGAGGACTCAGACACGGAGACAAGTAGCAGTGAGACATCTGATGACGATGCCTGGAAGTAGGCGTATAAATGCTCACAGTTAAATCTGACCCAGTAAACTCAGCGTGTGTGTTTAGGGGTTATACAGAAGAAATCGTTCTTTTCCTTTTCCTTTTCTTATGTTGTTGTTGAATACTTCATGCACAAGGGAAATAATCATATCCCAAAGAGAGAGCGAGCGATTGGCTTGTTTAGCTTTTGTTGTTGTTCTTCCCTGTTATCTGCTTAATAGAGAGAACTTTGTGTGGTGGGAAAGATTTTTAAAACACACATACACACAGTATATATGGGGCAATGCACAGGTGGGAGCTGGCAGTGCAGAGAGGAGGAGACACTGGTCTGCAGCAACAGCTTCTACTACCAGCCCTTGGGGCACTCACCCCTGTGCTCAAGCAATCATTGTCAATGACAAAGTGACTATTGAAGTTATAATTGTATTAAATTAATGCTAATAATTTGGATATTTTATTTTATTTCTGGCTGCTCGGGTAACGTTAGCCCTTAACCAAGCATATGTGGTTTTTTTCCCTTTTTTTTTTTTTTCTTTCTGGGTACAGCTGTAAAATATTTGGATATAGGAAATGTTGTGTTATTCTTGCAGCCTTGATATTCAGGGTGGATTGTAAAATATAAATTTTTGTGAGATTTCAAAGATTAAGATTATTTTGATAACATTATTTACAGATTTAAAAGATGTGGTTATCACAAGTCTGTTGAGGGGGAAAACTACTGCATAAAATAACTAACTTGGAATAAATATTTTGCATCAGTTTGGATTGTCTTGTGTAAGAAGTATATTTTCTTTAAAATTAAATGAGTGGATTTAGAGGTCTGAGGAAAATCCGAATTCAGACACACCTGTTTCTCCTTTTAGCAGATACATTTTTGATGCAGAAAAACCTGTGCAATATACTACCAGTAATAAAACCAGAAACCCAAATTTCCTTTCTGACGCTGTTTCTCACTGCCCATGTATTTGCCAGTGTGCCTATTTTAAGGAACTCTGTGCCTCAATATTCCTGCTAAATAAGAATATAGGGAGGGTGTCCCAGGCATTGTGCAAGGCCCTGGGAATGCAAGGAGCACCCAACTTAATAGGGAAGAGAAGAAACAGTTACATTAAAAATGGAATCTTAGGCCAAGATGTGATGGACAATTAGAAGCGAACAGATCACTGATAGTGGCATTCTTTGACCAGCTGTCTATCTCGTGGTCCGTAGTGGATATAGCAGCCCAAGATTATACTCTAATGGGAGACAACAAGCCAAGGGGTAACAGGCCCAACCACTAGTTAGGATCACTGTCTTACAGTGTAGATTTCAGAAGGAGTAGAGACTAGAGGAAGAGAAACCACCATGGTGCTTGGTAGATTCTAAAGGAGAGGAAGGCAGAGTACTAATAAGAAAACTTGGGACTTCCTTGGTGATCTAGTGGATAAGACACCACGGTTCCAGTGTAGGAGGCAAGGGTTCAACTCCTTATCGGGAAACTAGGATCCCATGTGCCATGTTGGGGGTCGAGAGAGAGAAATTAATAGAGGAAGGAAGGAAAAGAAAAAACTTGACAGTTACGACACTATATTAATTACAAACCTTGATTTTAGTATTAAAATATGAAAATGTGCATCTTAGGATCAATGAAATACTATCAAATGAACTATAAATTGGAAATGAGAAGTAGGTTGAGTTAGACATATCCTGTATATTTGGTCTTGGGCTTTGCCACTTAACTAGCACTCTGAGAACAAATTTCTAAAATGTAGCCCTTTTCTCACTTGAAATTGAGCTGGACTTTAATTACATACTTTGAAACACTTTGTAACCTGCTGCTCCTCATACCTTGGCCTTAAGCACCTGGGGGCAGGGTAACCACTACCTGCTTGTTTAGAAACATGGAGCTAGGTCAGAGCTCCTGTTTCTGTTGGATTTATCTACTTGGGGAGCTGGCAGGGAGATCTGGTCAGCAAGAATGGGGCCTGTGCGGGCCCCAGTCTCGAGTGAAGGGGTACCTTTCTATATTTGATTTCCTTTTCTGATGGATTGTGTTCTCCCAGAACCTTTTCTGGGCTGTGCGGATTATCTTGATGGGGGCGGTGGAGGGGGGACGGGGACTGGGAGTTGGGGAGCCTTGGTGTGACTTGGTTATGCAAAAGATGTTACCTCCAGAGAGGCATGGTAGATGGAAATGCATGTTACTCAACCAGCAAATCATGGTTTCCAGGCACAATCCCTTCTCAAGTATTCCCTGGATGGACAATGACATGTAACTTGGGATACATCCACTTGGGCAAAACTAGAAGAAAATGACACTTTTCTGCCAGAGGCTATTAAATGACCAAGATGGAGTTACATGATATGGACTCAGCTATTCTAGGAGGCAGCTGTTTGCTCCCCTTTATTAATGTAGGCAGAAAAACCAAGGTGTGGTGGTTAAGAGACTTGCCTATACTCATACAATGAGGTGCAACAATGTTTTAACAGTGTTTCTCAAGCCAGGGACTCCTCCCTAAGGTGACTAAGCCTTCCCACTCATTCTCCAGACCTGCCCACACCTGATGTGGTTGCCCAGGGAGCTAAAGCTTCTCCCCAAACAAACTTGAACAGGTAAACGTGGTCTTTCCTCTCTGCCTTTGGCTATTTCATCCTCCTCTCTCTTTCCCTCTACTCCTCTGTCCTGTTTTCTCCAGGTCTTGGCTGGTGTCAGGAAAGGGGTCCCCTCCCATGGCCTCCCACTCCAGTGAGCCAGGGCTCCTGCCCTGCGGGTCCTGTGACATGGTTTTCCGCTCCTGGCCCCTGCTGGCCACCCACACTCGGCGCTTCTGCATTGGCGGTCAGACCCGGGAGGTGACAGTTGGAGCACAGCCCCCAGTAGCCACCGAACCACGGGTACCCGGGGAAAGGGCCTCCATGGTCATGAGTGGGTATTGGTGACTAACTTTCAGCATTGCTCACCCCACACCCCGTCCGCAGGTTGTGCCACAAAAACACCAGGGCCTCCCGGACCAGGAGGCCAGCAAATCAGCTCTGAAGAGGCTAACAGAGGAGGTACACCTGGCTTTCTCCACGGGCTCAAAACAGCATTCCCCCCCAAACTTAGAGATCACGCGTGGGTCAGATTACTCCAACAGAGGCTGCCAGTAACTGTTACCTCCAGGTGCAGCGGCTGCGGCTGTATCTGCAGGAAACGAGACCCTGGATAACAGAAGTCCCCAGGGGGCCACAGGGGCCCTGGAGGTCTTCAGAGGTGACGACTCAGAGCGCCTACTCCAAGGCTGCTGGCAGCCTGGGCGAGCGGCTGCTGGCGCTGCACTGGACTCGCGCAAGGCGCGTGGCAGAGACCGCGGCGCAGAGCTGGGCCCTAGAGCAACGCGGCGAGGGTGAGGGGACAGAGGGGGGCTAGGGCCCACCTTTCCCGCTTGGCCTGAGGTCGCCCGACGGGAGACCGCCTGACTTGATCTCTTACCCCCTCAGAACTGAGCCGGCGCCTCCAAGGTTTGGCCCGGACCGGGAAATCACGCATATTCAGTCTGGAGCGGGAGCTTCGAGAACTCCGGGCAGAGACAGGGCGAACGCGGGGAGCTGTGGAGGAGTTAAGGGCGGACGTTCAGCAGCTCCAGGCCAACCCGGTGTAAGCAGGGTGCGTGGGAACCCGGGAGAGCCGCGCCTGCGCGGGGCGGGGCTTGGGCGGGGAGGGGGCTCTGCCTGGAGGCCGCGCGGGAGCCGTCGGGAAGGGGCGGGGCTACCGGAGACCCGCGTCTTGATCTCTGAAGCGGTCCTAGCGCCGCCGGCCCCCACCTCAGCACCCGGCTGAACACCTTGAGAGAAGCAGAACTCTGTGGTCCGGTGCTACAGGCAACCCCAGGGACTCTGCCTGCGGAGATCGGGTGAGGTCCGGGCCCGGAGACGGGTGAGGTCCGGGCCCTGGGACGGGTGATCAGTTCTGGTAAAACGCTGCTGCCTTCTTGTCCCGTACTCCCTAGGGCCCTGCGTGAGGCCTACATTCGAGGCGGGGGCCGGGACCCCGGCGTTCTGGGCTGGATGTGGCAGCTGCAAGCGGAGGCATCAGCTCTGGAACTTCGGCGGTCGCGGACCGGCAGGGGTGAACAGGAGCAGGCCAGCCAGAAGACCTCTCTGGAAAGAGGAAAGGGCGGTGAGGGACGACGCCTTTGGCTTGAGAACCACTTAAGTAACAGTCCGAAGTAGAACACTTGTCTTTGTGGTGGTGGCAAGATTGTTAGCCGACAAGTCGGCCGTGTTCAGAGAGTACCAAGGCTGGAGAGCTGCTCAGAGCAGCTGGTCACCAGAGATAAGAGGTGACAGGTCACATTTGTTCAATCTCAGGAGGACGGGCAGGTGCTGCATTCAAGGAGCTTCTAGCAGTGGAGGCTGAAAACCGGCGCCTGGAAGCAGAAATCCTGGCGTTGCAAATGCAGAGGGGCGCAGGCCAGATGCCCTGGGGTCAGTGAGCACCCAGTTCCACCCAGGGCCTGCCTAGCCCTCCCCAGCAGGCCAGGCTCAGAGAAAGGGGTTAGAGGGACCATGCACGGGGAATGCGACCCGTGTCTGCGCCCCATCAGTCCGTGTCCACGCTCATCTCCAGTGTCTGCATGGGTTTGGCTCTTGGGGATGAGGTATCTCAGCCCAACTACTTGCTGCGTCCTGCTCAAGGGCCCCGGCTCTTCCCTGTACCTAGGGTGCGGGCAGCCGAGACTTGCGGCCAATCCGAGCCCACGCCTGAGGAGGGAAGATCTCCTCCCGCCTCCAGTGGCTCCCCGGCTGCCGTCCTCCACCGGAGTCCTGTTCTTGGGTGGCGCTGAGAAGGCTGTGAGGACCGGGGGTTGGGATGGGGGCAGTTCTGCTCTGTGCAGCTGGGGGATCCCAGGGAGCATAGTGTCTGCCTGGGAGGCTTTCTGGAGGAATTAACTCTACTCCCGGTGCAGTCGCAGCTTCCTGGAGCCATGACCAGAAACCTGGCCAGGGATCCAAACTACCTCCTACCCTCTACTGACGTCCTGGGCCCTGCACCCTACGACCCCGGGTGAGGCCTGCTCCCTCCTTCGACATCCTCTGTGACTTAGTCACTGCTGCTAGTTAAGGAGACCCACTCAGGCCAGCTAGGACGGGGGAACTGCCTGAGGGGTGGGAGGGTGAAGGACTGGGGTGTGCGTTTTTGAGACCTGTGTTTCCTAGGGCTGGCCTTGTCATTTTCTATGACTTCCTGCGGGGCCTTGAGGCTTCTTGGGTTTGGGTGCAACTAATGACTGGCTTGGCCCAAGATGGACAGGAGTCAGGAGGGACCACTGCGCTGCCCCCAGCCCTTTGCTTGCCCCCACCTCCAGCTCCCGGGCCCACCGGCAACTGTGCCATCCTTGCCAGCAAGCAGCCTGTACCCAGGTCAGTCCTTTCCTTGGTGCTTTTTGCCACAGTTGAAACTTGTCTCTCATTCTGCTTTATTTTCTCATCTGTATACAAGGACTCTGGCTCTGAGGGCCAAGTCCTAGGAAGGGAACATAACCACTTCTGACTCCTGACACGTTTTTGGTTTTGCTCTAGACTACCACCCTCACCATCAGTAGCCTTGATCTGTGAGCTCCAGGCCTGGCAGGGGCTAGCATGGGCTAAGGCACCACAGCCAAAGGCCTGGGCCTCACTAGTGCTATTTGACCAGAATCAGAGGTTGCTAAGTGGTTGTTGGCGTCTCCCACTTCGGGCCCTCCCTCTGGACCCCAGCCTTAGCCCTGAGCAGCTGAACGGGATTCCCCAGGTGAGTGTGGAGGATAGGGGCTGGGTCTGCTCCTCCACATTACAAATGCAAGACCATTTCACCTTTCCCCAGGTTAATCAAGCCGAGCTCTTTGTGAGACTGGTGAATGCAAGAGATGCAGGTGTCCAGGCCCTGGTAGAGGTCAATCCAGCAAATGCCCATGAGTACCAGTACCCACCTCTGGTGAGGGCCCAACTAGAGTGGGGACACCACAGGTGTGGTTGATGTGGTTAATAACCAGCCTTTGTTGACTACTATGTACTTACCAAGCCATTACTAAGTGTTTTCTGTGAATGAACTCACATGACTCACATATCCTATTAGGTCCATACTACTGTGTCAACAGATAAGGAAATGAGAGCACAATGTTAACCTGGTTCACAGTAAGCAGTTAACCGTTAAGGTGGTGTGACACCAGACGCTGTGCTGTTAACCTCTATACAAACCGATTGCTACAGATCTACCCTCTCCTTGTTCCACAGGTACCCAACTCATCTTCACCGGAAGCCAGCCCCCTCGCCCCATCAACTGCCTTTGTTGACCCCCCTCCTCCCGAAGATGCCTAAACCAGCAGACTCAGGCATAGAGGGTTTGGGCCCTCCCCACAGCTTTGACCCACCCCCACTGGCTCTGAGTCCAGAAGAAGAATGGGGGTATGAGTAGCTTAATGTGCACAAGACTGGGGCCTAGACTGAGGCCTCTTCTGGGATCTGCAGCTTTACTAACTCCATGTTCTGACAAGTCTGGAAACAAATAGAGATGTGAGCAACATAACATGCGCTCCAATGCCATCTCTAACTTCCACAAGCACTTGGCCCTTCTTTATTATCCTGTTAAAAAAGATTGATGTGAGGATTAAACACATCAAGCTTACAGTATTGTCTAGCATATAAATTCTTTGAAAGGTGACTTGGAGACAGTCTTTCATTCAGCTAAAGGAACTCTATGAGCTCCTGCCCATGTGTTTTTTTTTTTTTTGCTAAAGCCAGTCTTACTGCCCACTTATTTATCCCAGCTTCTTCACATCCTCCAGGAAGCCTTCCAGATTCTCAAGGTCTCCATAAAACAGGGAGCTTCTGTAGCCTATCTACGTAAAACAACCCAGTCATGTTCCCCCCCAAGTTGGCAGGGGGGCTCATCAGAGGTGAAATCCAGCTGCTATTACATTGGGCCTGGCCCCAGACCCCAGTGTCAGCAAAATCAAAGGCTTGATAATTAAGAGCTGCCTTTGCCTCCAACACTGATGTTCAAACTCCAGGTTCTAACCTGCTATCTGCCCAGTGCAGCAAAGTAGCCCTGTGAGTGTTGGAATTATCAAACCCCCTTAGGTAGTAGAGGGCTAACACTGTTTGGAATTCAGATCCTGCCTGGTATAAAGCAGTTTCTTAAAGGTCAGCTCAGAGGCAGCCAAGTCACAGATCTTACACTGGCTTTGCACCCTGGACATGAGTAAGTGCCCAATGGGATGGCTTTAGTACCAGTGGCCTAATAAGCACCAGCACCCTTGGACTGGGCAGCCAGAATTGCTGAGCCAGTTTCCACCTTTCAGCCCCACATCCCACTGAAATGCTCCAGGCGGCCCAGGATCCCACTTTAAGGTCTTTAAATACAAGTCCAGAGGCCAAAAGCATTTTAGCATCTTTATTTAAGAAGCCAAAACTGTGGACAGGTAACAATTCCAATTGTTGATATTTTCTGTACAGAAAGGTTCAAATATAACAATGTAACTCAACCAGCCAGTTCGCCCCACAGATTCTTCCAACCACATCCAAAGTGACCAGTCGGACCAGCCACTTGCAAGCTCAATTTTATAGTTAGCACAACAGTTTTCCTCAAGGATCACTCCCCCCTGCCCACTCCCCTGGCCCAAGTTTTCTTCAGTTCTTTTTCCAGGACGGGATTATGGCCCTACTTGGAGACCAGGTGGATACCAAGGTGCCACCCAAGGCCTGGCATAGGTGTTATTAGCTCACAAAGTCCATCAAACATTATCAGCACCAAAGAACAAGATCTTCACTAAGTCTTATTTTGTAGCCCCTGTCCAGGGAGAGCACCACTCAATTTGCAAGACAGCCCAGGTTCAGAGTATTTATAATGGAAAAGATATAGCACCATTGGAAGATAAGGGCCTGCAGCCATGCTTGATTTCATCACCTCCACATTAGACAGGAATATGGATTAGAACTTCCAACAGAGATCAATACAGAGGAGGAAAAAAACACAAAAACCTTTGGCCACTGTATAAAACCCAGAGTGCTCCAAGGGGCACAGATTAAGCCAAGAAAAAAATCATCAAAGCCTCAACCTTTGCTTACAATCTTTATTGAAGTTATACAAAAAGAATCCCCGAAAAGTGAAAAAATACATTATATACAAAAACACTTTCCATTGGGAGGAAGGCTCTGCTCCCTCTCTTAACATGCAGTGCTTTCAACGGTAGCTCCGGCCTCCACTGTCCCCTCCACTGCTGCCCGGCTTTCAGCTTTATTCTCAGCCTGGAAGATAAACAAGGAGCCTGGGCTTAAGTGACCCTACTTTAAGCAGTTTTTTCTTACACAACTGAGTTGGCCTCAGTCAGAGGAACAACACAGGTCCCTTAAATTCTGCTTTGCTCTCTACACTAAAAGGGATCACAAGTATACAGCCATTTCCTAACCTCTCTAATAGGGCTGATAGAGCCAGTGTTCATTTATTAGAAAGAGGAGCAAGCAAAAGTGACCGAATGGTTTTGGCAATCAAGTGTCTTCTCACACATTCATTAGAGGGGGACCTGTGCTATGTATTTGACAATGAGACATCTTACATTTCATAACCAAACTGTTTCCAGTACAATCATTGTTTTTATGAAAGTAACCAAATAATACAAAGATCAAGTTGGGGAACATGCATTGGTTTCCCCAGGCCCTGAGAACAAGGGAAATGAGGCACGAGTCCAAACCCTGCTTAACTGCCCACCTCCTCCTCCATGTTTTCGGAAACTTCGGTTCCACTGGAAATAGTGTCCCCACTGCCTCCATTCACCTCCGGCTCTTGTTTGGCTTTCTTTGCATCATCTTTCCGGGGGCTCTCTTCCTCTGGTTTCCTCTATAAAGATATAATTAATTGTGAAAGCTTCACAAATGTGCTTACTGTCTTTAAAAGGACAATTATAAAACAATTTTGTAACACATGCCTCTTCCCTATGGTGCAAAGATTATGAACACCAGGATTCACAGCTCTAGGGGTCTCCCGAGTCACAGCCTGTCCTCTGGTATGCCCAAACATACCAGTTCAGCCTCTCTAAGGATGAAGAGTGAGGACAGGGATGAGGAATAGACAACAGTAACCAACCCACAAATCTGAATTTCTACGGGTGAATCAGGAAGCAAAGTAAGAGTGGAGGCGCTCTCACAAGTTTAGGGAGGTCTGCTGCTGAATGACTCCTGTAAACCTGCCAGTTTCCCAAGATGGGCTGATCTGACCAGTCCTCCTCAGCAGCTTTCCTAATAGCCCCTGGGCTAAAATAAAACAGAAGGGTGTTGCTAGAAGACATATTGAATGGAGAACTAGCTTCAATTCTCACTCACTTTTGAAAAATGACTCTTTATATATATATTTCTTTTGGCTGCACTAGGTCCTAGTTGTGGCACTCAGGATCTGTTAACTTTAGCTGTGGCATATGGGATCCAGTTCCCTGACCAGGGATCGAACTCAGGCCCCCTACAATGTGAGCTTGGAATCTTACCCACTGAACCACCAAGGAAGTCCCAAAACAGATGTCTTATTGTACCAAGTATTAGGGATGTTTATGTGAAAGGTAATTTTCATGTATCATTTGGAGGGAGGGAAATGCAGAGTAGGAAGAATATAGAAAAGAAATGACCACATATAGATTTACCTTCTTTCTGACAAGGTGGGAAATATCAGTAACACAATTTGATGAGGAAGCACCATCTGTTGGCTTTCTACTGGCAATCTGGGCAAAAAAGAAACCTTTGTTAGCAATGTACTGCTATATATGAAATACACACTGAGGCCTAATATTAATTGACAAAAATCACCTGAATACCCACCATGGAAACTGAAGAGCTTCCTCCACTGGGGGTGAAACCTGAAGTAGAGCTCTCCACCTGTGAGAAATGACAAACCCAAGTGGGTCCCAGGATAGAACCCACCAGGTCACCTACCTACAAGCTACTAAGACTTCAAATACTAGTGGCCTCCATATGGTAGCAACATCACCCACCCTCTCTACTCAGACCCACGGTCACACAGTAAATAGCTGAGAAAGAATTCAAACCCACCGTCTGGCTCCAGAGCATACCGTCTTAAGCACTGTATTTACTATTTGAGAGGAAATTGTATAGACTTCTCACATTCCCTCTGACATCCAACTCCCTGGAAACCAAGTCATAAGGAAGATTCCTAGCAAATGGAACACTAGTACCATGATAAAGGGCCTTCAAAAATATCCAATGTGTGACTACCAAAACTCCACAAGGAAACCAAACAAACCAGAGTTGCTTTCAGAGCCAGTTCAGCTACATTGCCACTACGCTGGGACTCCTTTGCATCTTCTATCTTCTCTCTAATTTCAGGGAGTAGCTCCTTCAGCTCCTCAATTTCTTTCTCATATTCAGTAGGTGATCCTTCAGCCTCCTTCATCTGCTCATTTAGTACAGCTAGAAAGAAAAGGCTGAAGTGATCAGTAAGTAATAGATGACACAATGGACATGAGTTTCTTTAAAAAAAAAAAAAGAACTGTCAATACTGGATCATAATTATTATGGAAACAACTGATGCACACTCACCCATTCTCTTCTCAATGACCTCAATAGATTTGCTGAACTGTGCTACTGCTTCATCATACTGAGAGTTGTACCCATAGGCCAAGCCCAGCTGGTAGTGAGTCTCTGCAAGGAGCCGATCATGGGCTTCCAGATACTGTTCCTGGAGGTTTAGGCAAGCCTGGAACTCCTCCACAGCTTGGAGGTAATTCTCTATTAAAGAGAAAAATAGCAAGCAAATGTACATTTAATATACAGAACTTCTAAAATTCCAGACCATCCTGCAGAAACATTTTCCCATGTTATAGTTCACTTTTCTTTGTAGTATCTCCAGGACCCTTGACTAAAATCCATCAAAACAACTTAAAAAACCTATTGGGAGGGAGTTCCCTGGGGAGCCAGTGATTAGGACTCTACACTCCCAATGCAAGGGGGCCATGGGTTCACCCCTAGTCAGGGAACTAAAATCCCATATGCTGCACAGTGCAGGGAAAAGGAAAAAAAACCTACTGAGAGACTTTCATTTAGAGTATCATTTAAAAGACTATTCACTGTTCTAGGAACCATAAGGAATCTAAAACACCTACTGTCGGTTCAAAACTAACTGCCCATAATTCAAGTGAGCTGTATTTTAAGGAATTAGAGGAAGGGTAAGGCAGGCGGGGAAACAGTGTGTTAGAGAGTAAAACAGAAAATGTATTACCAGATTCAACACTAACTTCTCCAAGTTTAAGATGTGCCTGTGCAGCATAAAGCTGAGCCTCCTTCGTGTCTTGCCTAAAAGAAGGATAGTTAGAAAC